CAGTCAAAATAATACAAATGTTTCTGTTATATCTGAACTGCATTCGCTAAATAATAATTTGTCAGAAATTTTAAAAACTGATGACTTGTTTAAAAAATACACTAATGCTGAATATTTATTGAGCACAGAGGCTTGCGAACAAATAATGAACGATCCGTCAATAACGTTAAAAAGATGATATAGTAACAAGAAACGCTGCTTTATTTGTTTCAAAATTATATTCTAATAATTCTTTATTACGATCGCTTGCACATAAAATAATACAATATGTAAGCAATTTTTATAAATTAATTATTGAAATTATTAGACGTAAATATGAAAGTACAGAGAGTGAGCGAAATGTTTCATTTAGTATAAAAGATATGTGCACAATTTTACAAAATGCTTTTGCTCAGTTTAAAACTGAACATCTAACATTAAAATACTTTATACAATGCGGTTATCTAATTATGCCACAGTTTATAGATATTGCTACTGCATTACATCCAAAACGTTACATAAAAACACACATAGGCATGCATGTAACAAATAAATCGTTACAACTTATTCTTTTGAGACTTGTATTAAGGAGATTTTTACAGTTACCAAATATTTTGCAGATAATAATAAAACACACGTGTGAAAATAAATGTAAGGTAAACGTCCCTATAGCGAACCATTTAAAACGCCTGGAAAATTGAAATTGAATTTTTATATATATTAACAAATCTTATCTATAAGCGGATACGACGAAACGAAAGCTTGGATTCTCTAGTTTCTGGAAACCATCCAATAATTAGTTCCATCGGTAATAGTTGATTTTTTTCGAAAAATGCGAGAAAAGGAAATGTCCCACTACCCGGCCATCAGTTTTTGGTTATGTCCCGATACCCGGCCACTCGATGTCCCTATTACCAACCAGTCGCAAATGAAAGTAGAGACAACTTTTTTTATTTTATTCACTATTTCTTTATTAGTTAGACTATGTAACTTTTCGTAACTTCAGGTAACATATAGTAACTTTTCGTAAAATATCTTCGCCTTACCATTTTTTTTGTTTTACAGTTTTTTTTCAGTATTTTATAGGTAACACATGCAGGTAACATATAACAACAGTTTGAAAAATATCTTCGCTTTATCATTTTTGTTTTTGTTTTTTTTTTTAGTTTTTTTTTGCGGTTTTTTCAATTCAGTCAGCTGCTTTTTTTTCTCTTCTCGTTCCAGTTTCTTTTGTTTTTGCGCTCGCTTCTTCTCTTCTTGCACACGTTTCTTCTCTTCTTGCATTTCCTTCCTTCTCTTTATCCTATCTTCTTTTTCACGTAGAATGTTTCTTTTTTTCTCTTCTTTAGATTTTTCATATTCCACCCACTTATCGGAAGTAGCCACAGTGGGAGGCTTGGGACCGTTGAAGAGCCTCTTCCTTTTTTTGTTTGGAAGATCCGGGGGCCAAAATAGGGCATCTTTGAACGGATCTGGAGTACCTTCGCTCTGCTGTCGAGTCTCACGCATAATGCTCGATTAACCTAAATTCGCGGTTCGAGAGGTTACGTTCAAGACTTTTCCAATGTAAACAATCTGCTGACTACATAATAGCAATAACGAACTCGTTCGACGAAGCCAAATTTGTAAAATGTTAGATATCATACTTACTGCAAATAATCGCCTCAGTTTAGCGTAATTTTAAACACACTTTAAGCACACTCAACAAGCACACTAAACAATGCCGCGCGTCAATGCTAATTGTTTGTGTTAATTTCTATCAAGGTTATGGCCGCTGAGTTCGTTGCGTCCGGCAATTGGGACATCACCCGATCGCCTGGTTGTACCAGTATCCAGCCACTTGGTTCGCTATTGGTATGTACACCATACGGTAGTAGGTAAACTAGGGGAATTCTAATCCACCCCGTAGGATCTGAGGGAGGGGTGAAGGGCGGGGGGGTACGACGGGCGCGTTCTCCAGCGTGTTTTGATAGTACCATTGATCGTACCCGTTTTGCGAGACACCGTCCGTTATCTTAGTGGCACTTTGATATGTATTAGGTATTAGAAGATCCTGACCGACCACTGGCTGGCTATCGACGGCATGCGAGTTCTCGATGCCGCTTGGCGCGTAATCCGGAGGTAGCACGGGCATGTTGTCGGGTACCGAATTCCCTCGGATACTCGCGACGTTAAAATTAGCAGGATGTTGAGCTCTCCCTTTTACGGGGCTCGAATGCACCTCTAACGATTCGCCTAAAGGATCGATGTTTTCCCGACTTGCTTCCAATGTTGAGTTGACCAAAATTGCTGGTTAATTTCTCTGCAGCTGTAGGAGCGAAAGTACGATCATCCTTCTCGCCGATAAGAACGGTTTTGGAAGGATCGCTCTTCGGTGCGTCGTCAGTCAGTACGTTCAGATGATGGTGGTCTCCAATCAGTGATTTGACGTCGCTCGATTTAGGATAACCGCGTTTTCGTGTGCCGCGGGGGCATTTGCGGTTGCGCCGCAGGTGACCGCGTTCGCGTTTTCGCCGCGCCGCGGGAAGGGGTCCACGTGCAAAGGCCGCGTCGCGGCGTCGGCCCGCGTGACGTCACACGGCGCGCTCTCGCTCGCGTTATCTCCTCCTCGTTGATGTTCTCTCGCGCCCCCGTCCCCCGTTCACGCGCGTCTTCTCGTTCGCGCGCGGTCTCTCTCGCCCCCGGCCCCCGTTCGCGTTATCTCTCTCTCGCTCCCGTCACCCATTATAGCTAGATTATTTTTTATATTGTTTTAAGTGATTTCTTTTTATTGGAAATAAGAGGAAGTATATTTAATAATTTATATGAGACAGATGAGAGAAAACGTATAATGATCGCGCGACGAGTGCGGCACACACATTCTTATCGAGAGTTCTGTAATTCTAAACCGCTGACGGTGGACAAGGGAACGGTAGACAGAAGGAAAGATAATTTTAGATACAGTGATATGCATTTTAATATACATTTATTTCTCATGTAATACATCGTGTATAATATTATCTGCAGCATACGCCAACAGTTCACAATCAATAATTAAATTTTTGTCATAAAATTCACGCAATATTCTAACTGCATTACATTTATCGGTGATATAATTTTGGCGTAAAATGATTACAAATTGTTTAAATTTTTTACTTACGCCATGAACATTTTGGCATAATTGAAAATACACATTCTCGACGCAATGTTCTAGTTCGAACAAGAAGAGTACGGTTGATGGTTTCATGTACAAGCTGGTGGCGCACAATGTCAATTTTGCAATATCCGCATTACGTATTTTAACAAGTTCCAGATCTCGAAACGCTAGCGATGATGGCGCCGGTGACTGCACGAATCGCTGAATATCTGCACGTTTTTCAATGAATGTCACCCACGTTGCATGAGGCAGAATTATCCGATTGCCTCGGTTATCACCAATAAGTATATCCACAGAGGACATAGGTCCCGCGTTGATTCCAACATCCAAAAATTTGTACGCTGTCGATGTCAAGGCAAATCTCCTTCCCAAAATACGAGGCGTGTAGCGGGGTTTATTAAAACTGAAAAAATACAATTATGTTTATAAAAGTTTTTTTTTGCACAAATATATACGAAAATTAGCGGTACTTACTCATTGTGCTGTTTCTCGCACGTTTCATCCTGAATCGGAACGTAGTAGTTCGCACCGTGAGTGTTTATCGTAACTGAAGGCTGTTTGTACTCGAACTGTATAAAACTCTCGACTGCGCGCGCTAGAATTCTTGTAGAACATTTATACATATAAAAATGCGAATCTTGCAAATAGCGCCAATGTACGGATGCTGCATGGTGACCACCACCACAATCCACATACAATATGTTAAATGTGATATCTTTGTCAAGAACATTCGTGATGAGATTATCTCATCGGGCAATAGCATCAAATATGATTTTTTTCAAAAACACATCGCGACGTGTCTTGCGATGATTTCATCGAACACGTGCAAAACTGCAAATTTTGCAAATAGCGCCGATGTATGGCTGCTGCAGTTATACAGATCAAATCACCGAAAGTCAATGGTGCGATATCGTTTTCAAGAACATACGTGTCTCGCGATAATTTCATCGCACACGTGTAAAACTGCAAATCGTACATTTTTTCAGAAGGCGCAAATGTATGAATGCTGAGATCACGGTGAAATTAGATATGATAAAAAAGCAAACTATGCATCATTAGTAGAATATAAATAGACGAATCTAGGGGATACGCTCAGTAATCGAGAATTGGAAGTCGTGAATACAACAAATTGTGTTAGAAAGAGGATCGTGTGATAGCATGGAGCAAGAGTTGTTGGACCAATCCCCCTTTTAAATTCGCGAGGAGACTTTACCGCGTGGGAGCAACGATGCGACGAGTTTATTGAATCGTTGGAAGAACAAAACCGAATTAAATGGCCACGATTATCGATCGATTTTAAACAGCCATCAATCGGTTTCAAACAGTCGTTAGTCGCTTGTATCGCATGACTCGAAGGTCTGAAAGATTCGGTACGTCAACGTTTCGTGCATGTGGGCGCCGGATACAGTGCGAGTGAGACAGGACTCAGATGGCGCGAGATAGATACGGCTTTTGAAAGTCGTATACTGACCGGTGTAGTAATAAATTCCAAACACATCGACCCTCGTCAATTTCTCAAAGATGCGAGAGAAATTGTACTCATTCATGTGCGGAACGTCATGCAACGACATGACAGTGTAAAGATAAACACAATGTTTAATGGTGAATTTGTTGCGGGTGACAAACGCGCGAATAAAAGTATTGCAACGAGAAACTATGAACTCTTTCGTGAGTCCGATCTGCACGAGTGGTACAAGCGACACGTTATCGAGCTTACGCTAGCATCGCTGGAGGAATTACAGGAACGTGATAGCGGATGGGCGTTGTCGCGTATACTTATAATTTGACTGTTAACGTCAACAAGTACAATCCATTGCACGCGGAGTGTTTTGTGGAAATACCGCGAAAAATTAAAACGAAAAGAGCGGTGATAAACGTGCGAACAATGGGCAATGCATGTTTCGCATGGTCAGTGGTGACTACTCTGCATCCAGCCGAGAGACACGCAGAACGGAAATCGTCGTATCCTCATTACACATCGGTGCTAAATCTTACAGACATTAAGTTTCCAATGACGCTGGATCAAATTAAAAATTTTGAAAATCACAACATCTCTATCAACGTCTACAGCATCAAGAAAAAAAACAAGGAACTTGCTATCCTGCCAATACGCCTCACCGATCAAAAGATGGACAGACATGTAAATCTGCTGTACATGCATGACGACAACGTGGGACATTTTGCATGGATTAAGAACCTAACCTATTCCGCCTTGTGAGCTCGCAATTGAGCAGGCACCATGGTCGGAAATACTTTTGCGATCGGTGAGTATACATCTTAATAAATAATAAAAATAATTTTTACGCGTAAAAGGTATATAACAATTTTTATTATTTACAGGTGTTTGCACTACTTCCTTTGCACCAGCTCCAGCGAAAAATTGGAAGCCCACACCGTCGACTGTCGGGAGATGAACGACTGCGCGATCAAGTTACCGAGCGATAACGACAAGTGGTTGGCTTTTAAGAATCCCAACAGGAAGGAACGAGTTCCGTTTATCGTATACGCCGACCTGGAATGTACTCTGGAAAAGATGGAAGCGGATCCGGAAACGTCCAGGTACACACATCAACATCATCGCGTATTTAGCATGGGATACTACGTGCATTGCTCGTACGACGAGTCGTTATCAATGTATCGGTTTCGTCGCGATAAGGATTGCGTCGCGTGGTTCGCCAAGGAGCTAAGACGTTTAACTCACGACGTAAAGACCATCTTGTCTGCTAATGTACCCATGGCAGATTTCACGCAAGGCGAGTGGGAAAAATTTAACAGCGCAACGCACTGTCACGTGTGCGAAAAACCGTTCGAGCCAGACGACGTACGAGTACGCGATCATTGTCATCTGACCGGTCGATACAGAGGTCCGCGCATTTAAATTGTAACTTAAATTACAAAGATTCGCATTGCATTCCCATAGTTTTCCACAATTTATCGGGCTACGACGCGCATTTTATTACCACGGAAATAGCTACAGCGTACGAAGGACGTGCAGACTTACTCCTAATCACAAAAGAAAAATACATTTCGTTTATAAAAAAACGTTAAAAGCACCGAAGAGAGAGATAAAGATAAGAAAACTTGTATCAAATTGCGATTTATCGATTTATACAAGTTTCTCACCGCTAGTCTCGACAAATTGACATCTTATCTCAGCAAGGATAAACTGCAAATATTACAACGCGAATTTTGTAAATTATCCGCAGAAAATTTTGATTTGCTGACACGAAAAGGCGTATTCCCGTACGAGTACATTGACTGTGTCGAAAAGTTGGAGGACTCGTGTTTACCACCGCGCGACTCGTTTCACAGTTCATTGACAGATGACACCGTATCCGAGAGCGATTCTTACGCTCACGCCGTCAACGTCTGGCAGCGGTTCTTCATTCGAACGCTCGTGACTACAGTGATTTATATCTCAAAACCGATGTCTTACTGTTGGCCAATATCTTTGAAAATTTTTGCGATAGCTGCGTCGCGAGTTATGGACTCGATCCCGCGTATGATTACACTCTACCGGGTTTTACGTGGGATGCTATGTTGAAGCATACACATATTAATTTCGAACTGCTCACCGACATTGACATGGTCATGTTTATGGTATACGCGGCGGTTTAAGTCAATATTCAAACAGATACGCGCTGGCCAACAACATGTACATGCAGTCGTACGATCCATATCGAAACCGTCGTCGTACCTGATGTATTTCGACGTAAACAACCTGTACGGCTGGGCAATGAGTCAACCATTGCCATATGCAGATTTTCAATGGGTCAACGACGTAACGGATTTTAATGTTATGGATGTCGCGTTGGATTCCTCGATAGGCTACATTCTCGAAGTCGACTTGGAATATCCGCAACATCTTCACGACGCGCACACTGACCTACCGTTCTGTCCGACGCGCGATAAACCACCCGGTAAGCGGCAGGACAAGCTCCTCGCAACATTATACGATAAGAAACGTTGTCATACATTATCGCGATCTGCAGCAGTGTACTCGTCACGGTACACGTCTCCGTATATCAAAGATTTGCCGCATATTGAAATTCGCGCAATCTCTATGGCTTCGCGATTATATAGACCTCAATACAAAATTTAGAAAATTGGCCAAAAATGATTTCGAGAAAAATTTATACAAATTGATGAACAACGCTGTGTTTGGCAAAACCATGGAGAATGTGCGCAATCATGTTGACGTGCGAGTAGTGACTCATTAGGAGGGTAGATATGGCGCGGAGGCAATGATAGCGAAACCAAATTTTCATATTTGAAGCGTCTTTTCGGAGAATCTAGTAGCAATAGAAATGCGAAAACTCGAGGTGAAGTTCGACCAACCAATCTACGTGGGTACGTGCATCCTCGATATATCCAAGACATGTTTGTATGAATTTCATCACGAGTACATGTTACCGTTGTATTGCAACAAGTGTAAAGTCACGTACAGCGATACGGACAGTCTCATTTATCACATCGAGTGCGACGATGTGTATGATACCATGAAGCGCTACATTAATAGATTTGACACTAGCGATTATGCGATCGATCATGCGTACGGTATCAAACTCGCCAATAAAAAAGTTCCGGGCTTGATGAAGGACGAAAACAACGGTGCGATAATGACTGAATTCGTCGGGCTTAGAGCAAAGATGTACGCCTTGCGAGTAGACGGTAAGAAAGATACGAAAAAGGCTAAAAGTGTTAAGTGTAACGTCGTAGCCAGGTGGATAATGTTCGACGATTACACGCGGTGTCTGCGCGATGAAATTGAAATGACGCGACAGCAGACCTGCATAAAGTCCAAACAACACGAAGTGTACACAGTGCCCGAAACGAAAATAGCTCTAAATCCGTACGACGATAAGCAATATATTATACCCGGTTCTACCGAAACGCTGCCATGGGGACATTGTAAAATATCATTGTAAATGAATTATGTGAATTATCAAATCCTAACCACTTAACATAAACCTTGCGACTGCGCGCTTCAGGGGCGAGTTCGGAAACGATCCGACGAGCATGCCCGATGGAGAAGATACCGACTAAGGGGACGAAGGCGACGATCGGTAACGTGCGACGCCCAAACCAGAGTAACCTATAGAAGCAATGGGCCAGAGGACCACCCCGCGTACCTGGCGCACGAGGGCGCGATGTCAGATTTACCGACGGAGTAAGGTTCCCGAAAAGGGCATCGGCTTTGGGAACAAGGACGCCCGACGAATTGGGTGAAACCTGGGACACAGCCCCAGGGGGTTTGCGTCATGACCCGGTGAAATCCCCGGGAAATGCATCTTCTCTGGGGAGAAAAAGGTCCGACGGACTCGCAAGAACCGGAAGAACCTCCCCAGAGGGTCGGCGCTATCGTCTGGCAAAATCCCGGCGAAACGCATTTTCGCCAGGAACTCGTCCGTCCGATCGTCTCACCAGGACCTGGGACACCATCCCAGGGGGTCGGCGTCAAGGTCAGACGAGTTCCCCGGGAAACGCATCTTCCCCGGAAACAAACGACGGAATCCATCACGAGAGGTCCTGGGACACCCACCTAGGGGGTCGACGTCGTGCTCCGACGAGATCCCCGGGAAACGCATTATCTCCAGGAACAGTGGCCGGAGAGGTAATATCAGCTCCCAGAAACCCAGCCAGGGGGTCGGCTTCAACGGCCGACGACACAGACGTCACACGGACGTCATCCACAGGAAGAACACCCAAAATCACCATCAGGGGCATCTCCGAGGAGGTGCGCAAGGGTCGGCGCCGTCCGCGTCGAGAAATTTCCGCGAGTAGAAACCTGGTGCAGCGCACAGTGGGCCAAAACGGCAATCTAGCTGGACAAAAGTCGATTTT